AAAATAAAAAATAAAAATACCCCACAGGGATTACAACTGAAATGGAAGAAAGGCACAAAATGATGTAAAAATAAACTATTGTATTATTAAAAAGAAAAATTCCTCAACAACAAAAAAGTCAAAATTAAAAAATAAAAATAGTGCCTAGAAAAAAAAAAACTAAATTCTGCTTTCCTGTGTATTTGAATAATATTTTTTCTTTTCAAAATGGTAACTCAGAGCCTGTGCAGTAACCTTACTTTATTTTCCAGGTTGCAGAATACCTGTATGCTAATAAAATGGCTTTCCGATACCCAGAACCTGAGGACAAGGCCAAATTCATCAGAGAAAGAATATGGCGAAGTGAATATGATTCACTGCTGCCGGATGTATATGAATGGCCAGAATCTGCATCCAACCCTCCACAGATAACAGAATAGAAGCACTCCCACTGAAAAATACCTTCCATGCTTCAGGGAACCCTTTTATTTCAGGCACAAAGAGATAATGTTCTGAAATGTATTTTTCTTTGTTTTATTCTCATCTACGACTTTGCTTGATTTAATTTTTCCCATTAAACTACATGTCTTTAGGGGGTAAATGTGTTGACTATGTTAATGCCCACCAGTGTTCTGAAATCAAATAACCATAATGCTTTGATTCTGACTGATAGTTCATACCACCTCAAAGACATGTTTAAAATGTATTTGTGAAAATCTTCATTTATGCTCTTGTTCACGCCTGCCAAAGTATTAGCTATTTACTCTTATAGGTCCTACTCTTCAGTCACCCATCTCTTTTAGGGCTAATAAAATGGAAATTTACTTCCTGTTGATTGGAATACAAGATTTTAAGAAGTCAGATTTAACCAAATTCTAAAGACAAATTATCAGTATCTTAAAATGCTTTTTTATATCTCTTTCATTTTGCCTTCATGCTCTAAAATTCCTTTAGATCTAGAGAAGTATAAAAAATTCTACCCTATTTATTTTCAGGAACTAAATTGAAATTTAACTATAGCATTTTAAGAGAGAAATGGGAACTACTGCTGCCTTTAGACAAAATAGTCTTGTTTTCAATGGTGTATAAAAATCATAGTGTAATATTTAATAAAGGTAATATCTTAAATTTAAGCGCTTCAATTATGCTATTTTATTATCCAAATAGAAATTTAGGTTTACTTAGTGTGAACAATGGATCCATTTTCTTTATGTGTAGATACAAGGGAAGGGATATAGGATACATAATGCATAAATTAAATTATGACTGGCATCATGTGACTTTTAATAAATTAGTGATATGTTTCACATCTAAATGAGTTATATTTAACTGGAAAGGCTATACCCCTATTTAATAGGGGTGTTTTTTTATTACTTGAGATACTTTTGGAATGTTCCTGTGATACATTTCTTTGAATATTATTAATCATGATATCTCTTTATTCATTGAAGATAGATTTAACTTTTTAAAACCACCAGCTTCTTAGAGCTAAATAGGTTTAAATAATAAGGTTTCCAGGCCAAGAAATGTCATTTTTACCCCATTTAGAATGGGTAAATAACTAGTGAGACCAGTTTTCTTACATGGCTGCCAATACTAGAACGTTCTAAATAAAAATACAAAAAACAGTTTGAAAAATGGTAGTATTGCTCTATATTTGCCTAACATGATTGTTTTGAGGGAACAAAACTTGGAAATGCTCATTCTAGAATATTAACTATAAAACATTATTCATAGCCACATGTCAGCATACAGACTTTTGCCATAGTCCATACATTAGTTGTGATACTCTGCAGAGGAAAAAAAAAAAAACTTCATTATAGTTTTTCATCTTTACTTCCACCTTCTTGTAGAACTCAATTCTTTATAATTTTTAAAACAATTCAGTACTTTAAGAATGCTTTGAATGGCATTGCATTTGGAATATAGAAAAATCAATCCATTTAACAGATGAGTATAGTCAAGTCTGCTAGATGTTTGCTTTACAAATAGCAACTGGATCACAGTTTGTTATATTTAATTAAATATGAACATTTTCTTTTTCATATTACCTTAGTCAAAACAAAACCACCGTCAAAAATATACTGAAATTTTTACTTTAGTTAATAAGTCTAATAATTGCAAGCCTGCTTTTTGCTCAGTGGTTTCTGAAGGTATGAACATATGCTGAGTTTTAAAGTAATTTTACTGAGATGTTTGCTTATTAAATGTTTCCAGGACAATCTTCGTGGAAATTATAAATATTTTAGGGATAAAAGGCCAAATGGCAGATAGTCTATTTATTTAAATAAAACAAAACTCTCACATTTAATTTTTTAAGCATCTATTTTGTTACTTAACAGTATTTTAACAAGAAATAACTATTGAATGTACACTAAAAAATAACATTTAGGCCAGGAATTAACAGCATTGGAAAAGAAACAAAAACATTCATGGAAACTTTTATCCAACAAGAAGGTAGTTATTTAAAAAACTTTGTTTTAAATTGAAAAAAATTTCTGTAATTACTGTCAGACATGATATTTGATAGAAAAAAAAAATGAGGATACATGTCTTTCTCATTTGGCACCACTAAAGTGTTAGCTATATGAAACAAATCGAAAAACTAGTGAGGAAAGGTGTATTAACTATAATGGGGAGTTTTAAAGACTGATTCTTACCAGGAGGTTGCCTCAAAATCACCATAAATCTTCTTTAAAATGCAGGTGCCTCTGTCTCCCCTCCTTTCAGGCCCCCTGAAATGTAGATTTTTTGCAGGTCCCTCCTTGATTCACATGGACACACTCCCCTGCCTGCCCAATCTCTGTCTTTAGCAGAATTCTCTCTCATTCAGAGAGCTCACTGAATCCTCTCATAGACCTCATCTCTGACAAGCTGCCAGATGCTGGTCCAGAGAATGGCCTGAGTGGCACTGCTCCTCAGTGTGGAGTATGATGTGCAGTCGATTTTGAGTGCGCATACAGACTATGCTTTTACACAAAAGGTCAGTTAGGTTCCCTTACACAGACTTGGTTTCATCTTTTCATTTGAGTTGTAATTGACAGTTTTAGAGATACAATCTGACTCATTCATGTATATTATAACTTGATCACAATTCTAAATCAAGTTAATGTCCACAATTACAAAGCTTGTTATGTATAGTTTTTATAGGATGTTTATAAGATCAGAAACTAATACAGAACTTTTAAACATTTTTTCTAAAACCACATAAACTAGAATATTGGTTCGATTCTAAACTATAGATTTTAATGTACTTATCAAGTAAAACCTAGCAACCAGTTTTCTCTATGAAAGATGAGCTATCAAAGGATATTTTTTCTTCCCTGATTGTTGTCTTATATGACTGACTCTATCATTTGTACTTTCTTAAATTATTAGCCTCTGCAGAAATGGTTCTGCTTTGCAGAGAAGTTACTAATTTATACCAAAGCATTAGTTACTGCTCTCAGAAAACTGAGAAACCCAAAGGGGATGGGGGGAATGGAAAAAGCATTGCCTTAGAGAAAATGCTTCAGGCAAATGTTGCTGTAGCTTCTCTCAAATCCCTGCAGTAGCATACCCTTGGGTTCTGTTGCACTCACCAAAATGAAATCTGCTCTTGAGCACATATAATACTTGAAAATATTGATAAAAATCTCAATGTTCTTTATGGAATCCATTCAAAGAGTCAGTTCTAAAGGATGATATAGCACCAATATGTTTCAACCTAAAGACCACTTGGATTCAGAAGCAGTCACCTTGCTGGCTGTTAGGAAATAGTGCAGGTTCATCATCTAAAACTTTTGATTCCTGACTGAATTGTGATTTGTGCTTGCATGTGCATCTGAAGGTTAAAATGATATAAATCCTCTACAGACAATGTAAATCATGTAACAGATTTAGCATATAAAAGATTTAAGATTAAGATATCAAGATATTTAAGCTATTTTTAACACTGTAGGAAACTTTCATCTCCCCCTGCGTCTCCCAACCGTGAAATCAAGGTAAGATATTTTCATGTGAGGAAAGATAAATCTCAGTGGCTTGTTTCAAATTTTAATAAATTCAACTGGGCCTTAGTGCATAATTCGCTAACCTGCCAGGAGTTTTTCAAAGTAATGGTCAGATTTGAAAAACAATTGTCATTATTTATTTGACAGGGAGAATTGTGCTTCTCCAAGGAACAAGTCGGGGTCTGGTAATGCTTATGTGTTCATAGTTCAGGTGCATAGAATATACAAGTGAAGTCAAAGTATTTTGGATGATTTGTATCTTTCTGTAACCACTTTTTTTGCCAATAAAATGTTTGTCATAATGGCTATTTAATCTTTTTTTCCCCAAGTAAAAATTTAATTTGCCACTTTGCAGTTTGGGATATTACACTACATTTAGCATACTTTGTAAAGTTTTAAGACTAAGGGAAATTAGTGGGTATATATTCTTCAGTTTTCATTATGTCCTTTTGTGGTCTCAAAAGTCACTTTCCCTATCATTTTCATTGTATAATCTAGCAAATTGTTGATTCCTATAGGGTGATTAAATTATCACCAACACACTAGGTATGTGTGGTTACCAAGTAATAATAAACTAAACTTTATGGGTATTGTTCTAAGCATCAGCACACTGAAGCCTCAAACAGGTGGGGAGGTTAAGGGACTTTCCAGAGTCAGCTGGTTCGTGGAAGTGGTGGGGCTCTTCATTGCATTCCCTCAGCTTCTTTGATAGGTCCTTTTATCTGAATCTTAAACACCTTATCATCACAAATGAAAAATTTTCACCCCATTCTTACAAGATTGTCTTAGGTCCCTTTTCAATGCATTTTACCAGTTCATATGGGTTATACTTTGCTGGCATTTGTACTCCCGTATTTAAAGTTTGGATGTAAAGATAAAAGCTTGATTGATTGAATTGATTAGACCAAAGATTCCTTGTAGTCAGCTCATTAATATCTTGGTAATTTTCACAGAACCACCAACTCTTAAACATTGGTGCCCATATATTTTGTGAATCTGATGTTGCATTTAAATTATAAGATACATATTTTAATGATAACCTGTTATATGTACATGTAACTCCCATTTAAAAAAGGTTAGAAAGTAGTCATATAAAATTGTATAAGGAATATCTAGTTCAGTTAAATATTACCAAAGTAAAATTTATCCAAGTAAAGGTACTTTGCCTGATGATCTTAAAAATTAACTGAAACTAAAACTATTTTTGCTATTGATATTTTTGTGTTCCCTTTAGTAACATCCCAAGCATTCATTACTGACTCAAGGAAGCCGTATTTCAAATGTCACTCGTAGCCTTTCTCACCATTGTGTTTATTAATATGAGATGAATAATTGTGGCAATTGCTCATGTGGCAACTATTTTATGGGGCAATTGTGTAGAGTTCATTGTGCCAGAGTGACTGACTACTGGTGGTTTCAGCAATCAGTGTAAAATCTTCATGATGATTGTTTTTTCTCTTTTGTGATAATTTCATTGTAATGAGATGTGTGTATTTTCTTAGTAAAATTTTCCTATGCATAAAAAGTGCATTATGACCTTGTTCTTAAAGGCTACTATGTATAGGCACTTTTAAATCTAGTATTATCTTAAACCTGAATACACAGACACCCCAGATAACCTGATCCTTTGCAACTATATTGTAATACTCAGATTTCCATGTGAAGCATTAAGTCATGTTCTTTTCCTTTTATTCAGCTTTCTACTCTTTCTATCCTTATGCAATCATAGCAGTAACTGAATTACTTCTCACCTCTTCTCCATGCATACTCCAAGAAATGTTAAGTTGATGTTGTGGTAAAGCGGAACAATTGACGTAACAGCTACTACTAATGAATACTGCTTATGGTCTACACAGACTTTGAGTTATCACTAACAGCTCAGGCACATATGTAGGGTAAGACCTGCTATTCATTTAAAGTTCACAGCAACCTGTTAAGGTGAAGCTATTCACATTGTCTCCATTTTACAGATGTAGAATTAGGAATAGAGCCAATAATGCTACTAAAGTGACAAGGCTTTAAATATGTCATATTAACAATTTGAGGAAATCAGTTAAACCAGACTCGCCTCAGTAGCAAAACAGAATGTGGCAGCAGCAAATCAAAGATGTGTGGTCTCAGTCACAAGCAGCGTCTTCATGCTAAGAACATGCCAATAACGTGGTTGCTGTGTCCAGAACATGTCATCGTGTGAAGAACATGTCTTGAGCATGTGATCATTGTGCTAAGAACATGTGGTTGTGTTGAGAGCGTATCTTGGGCATGTGATCGTCATTCTAAGGACATGTGATCGTCATTTTAAGAACCCACAATCGGCTGTGTCTGGCATCCGACAGCGTGAATGCATATCACTTGCTGCATGCTTGAGACCGTGCCTGACCCCTGGAAGCAGGCATCCAGAGATCCTATGGACATGTGTCTGTGACGTGGGCAGTATATGTCTGGTGCACATGAAGGCTTCTTGGAACATGAGGTTGCCATGCTAAGAGCATGTCGAGAATGTGTGATCATGCTAAGAGCATGTTGGTAACTGTGGCTTGTTCTGAGGACGTTGGAGCACATGCGATTGCCATGCTAAGAACACATCAGGGATATGTGATCACATTCACTCTGCATTTGACAGCATGAATGTTTATTGCTTGTTACAAGCTCGAGAAGCGTGTCTGACCCCAGGGAGCAGGCGTTCAGTGAGCTTATGGACATGGGCCAAGAACTTGCTAGGAACATGCAACTGACATGCTAAGAACATGCATCTGGTATGGCTAGAACATGCTAATAACCTGTCTGGTTGCTGAGAACACATGTGGCTGTCTAAGAACATGTGTCAGGTATGCCACGAAGATGCATATAACTGCATCTGGCGTTGTCCAAAGGTAGTGAAATGTAAGTACCATGCTCCTAGGTGCACAGAACAACCCACTGGTGTGTGGGAACTTGCTGACATCCAAGGACATGCTAAGAACATGCATCAGCCCATCCAACTTGACTATAAACAAATCAAAATTTGGGTTCATGTATTTGGTTTATTTTGTATAATCTCAAAATCACTTTCCCACCCAGTTCAGTGCTACTTCTCCACATAGTTTAATCAGCATTTGATTGCATATAGCCAAATAATGAGCAAAAATATTTCTGAATATAATTGAATAAAAGGGGAAAGAGTCATGGAGTCTGCCATATTAACATGTTATTCATTCTGAAGCTTGCCATTGTTTTTTATTAATTGGTAATCAATAAAGAAATTCTCTTTGCCCCCCCTTAATTCCAGGTTAGTTATACTTGTTAGGAGATCTCAGGTAGGCCCATCTATCTATGTGCTGAGAAAACCACCATTACCGTACATGTAGGTTACTGCTAAGCAAAAAACTAGAAAAAAAACAGCTTTCTTCTATGTGCATAAATGATATAATTAGATGTGCTAGGTAGCACTTTGGAATGACTCACATCTGAATAACACTTTACAAAGCATTTTCAACAAACACCATTTAGTCCTGACAAAAAAAAAAGACAAGAAGGGCAATTATTATCCTCTTTTTACTAATGGAAAAACAGAGGCTTGGAAAGTTAAATGACCTGGTCAAGGTCACCCAAGTACAAAGGGGTGAAACTAAGACTCAGTCTTTTAACTTAAAACTTCATGTTGCGGCCCTCCCTGGTGGCGCAGCGGGTTAAAGCACAGCACTGAGAATCTGAAGCCACTTCCGCATGAGTTCGATCCCTGCCTGCCGCCTGCCCCGGAGGAGACCACATGGCGAGCCAGACCTCTCCTGACTCGCCCGCTGCTCCCCTCAGCAGTGTACTTCGTCGATCTGCCTGTTCTGCTCCCCACTCTGTCTCTGGTGAAGCCTCTCGCCGCCCCTGAGCCTCTGGCCTGTACCCCAGTTCTGTATGAATGAATAAATAAATCTTTAAAAAAAAAAAAAAAAAACAAAAAAAAAACTTCATGTTGCTAAACAAAAAACAAATTACAGGCCCTCCCTGGTGGCACAGCAGATGAAAGCACAGCACTAAAAAGCAAAAGCCACTTCAGCATGAATTCAATCCCCACCCTGTGTTGATCCACATGGCAAGACAAACCTCTCCTGACCATTGGCTGCTCCCCTCAGCAGTGTACTACGTAGATCTGCCTGTTCTGTTCCCCACTCTGTGTGTGGTGAATCCTCTGACCGCTCCTGCACCTCTGGCCTGTACCCCAGCTCTGTATGCATAAATGAATAAATATTTTTTTAATTAAAAAAAGAGAGAAAAAAGAAACTGTGATGAGTGGGGAAGAACAAGCCCCCCAGATCTGGCTGTAAATCAGTATGTGTCTTCTTGAGCAGGCAAGTGTCAGGATAAATACAGTTCAAGCTCTGGTGTTTAATACTTGGTCAAATCAGATTCCACTTGCCCAAATCCACCTTAAGTTCTACGTCTCAACTATCCCACAAGACCCAGTCCGACTTCTACATTTCTCAGTTTATCTCAGGGCTTAGTGATACTTTCTCCCCTGTCCTTATCGTTCATCTTCCCTTTCCCATTGTTCCCTCCTATTGTTACCTGATACATTTTTTTCCTGCTCTTTAAAACCAAGAACCATATTTTAAAAATTCTCTTAGCATCAAAAGTAAGAACCACAGGATCGGAGCTCAATTAATATTTGAATAAACAAAGACTCTGCGAGGCCCTGAGGTAGATTATTTAATGCTTTGATGAACCAAGGGGTGGAGTTGGGTGGGGTAGGAAGTGGTCTTGATTCCGCTCTCAGGGCGCTTGCAAACCATCCTCATACCCACAGCACTTAAAAATCAGAGCACCTGGTAGTGTGCAAGCACTTACTTGAAATACTCTTTTATTTCTTCCCTTGAAATTTAAACAGAATGAGTCTTCTCCCTCTGGGTTAGAGATAGCCACGTGCAGGTTCTGCAGGCGGCCGCAGGGTCTTGACTCGCCCACCGGGCCGGCTGCGCGCTGCACCGAGCGCGTGGACCAAGAGCGTGTGACCCAGAGCCCACCCTCTAAAAGTGGGTCAGGAAGGGCATGCCTGTTCTATAGCAGCAGCGATGCGAATGCAGAGGAAAGGCAGCCGCACACGCTTTTTCCTCGTAAGGCATCTCGACTTGAAACTTTAGGTTTAATAAATCAAGGCGTCGCCCCCAGGAATGACTAGAAAGGACACGGGTCTATGCGGGAGCAAAGCATCCCTCCAGCTGCGTGGCATCACAAGGAAACAAGAAGCAGCAGTAAACGTGGGCCCTTCCGGCGCTGGCCACCGGCGGGG